AAAAATATTTATATTTATCAAACCTATATTGCTAGGTTTAATTAAGAGCATTTTTTCTATTCTCTAGAAAATGTCTTATGCCTCTCGAAGGCATAAAACAGTTTACATGGTCAATGGATGTTTTTCCTATTGACCAGTAAAACGTTTGGTATATCGAATAAATTTTTATCTTTTAAATAAGTATAAATCTTAAAAATATTTTTCAAAAAGTATTTTAGGTTCAAACAGACCCTTGATATATGTTGCTTTAATGGATTTTGGTGAATAGGTGTCATAAGGTGTTTTAATTGAGTTTTAATGGGGAAATTCAAATTGGGTTTGATTATTTTAGTTTTGGTGAAATTCTAATCCACTCTATTATTGCTACCTGTTTGTGTAATTTTTTTTTTAATTTTTAGTGCATGTTTGGTATTTATTTATTTATTATGTCCACTTAATTTATTATTCCAGAAATTTGGGCGATATATTTTTAGAATGCATGAGATAGAAAAATAATATGCATATCTTTGAGTTTAACGGTAGAACATACTCTCCCTAGATATTAGCTTATGTTATATACTCTTGGGATGAAGTTATAAAGTACAAATTGATAACTAAAGCCTTATAAAGTGATATTTTTCAATTTTTCAATGCAACAAGTTTATTTTGTGACATGGATAGAGATATAATGACTAGTTAGCTCATAACGTTAAGTCACATATGTAGGTATGATTTTTTGAGTCATGATGCCCTATGCAGATTTCTCAAACTGTTGGAGAAATAAAGAGTTTGATAACAATAGATTGTATCTCAAGAAAAAAGTTTATGATTTTTAAGGTAGATACACCTTCAAATTTTTAGGCTTTCAAATCAAATTTTTTAAGTTTTTTTCCTATTAAGGTTTTTGAAAGAACAATGAGCAAATTTTTTTTATTAAAAAAATATGCTTGAATTAAGAAAATTATATAAGAGGTATTTATATTTTAAAATATTTATGTAATATTAGATTTAATTTTTTAACAGTCGACTAATGGTGTTAATTGTCAATGAACTAAAAATATCATTTTGAAATAAGAGAGACCAACGTGTCTTTTTTAAATATTTT